CCCTGACCCTCTGTCTGGACAGTGCTGATCACATGCACTCTCCCAAGAAGAAAAAAAACTATCTGGTGATACACACCAAACTGAGCATGTGCAGATTGCCCCCAAGCAGTTGCGGACTGACCATTTGGAAACTCGGGCACTGCCCGAGGGCCCGGGGTCAGTAGGGGGCCCCATGAGATGCCCCTGGTACCTTTTTCATAGGCTTTTTTGAGTTTGGGCAAAGACACAGGGGCCCCATGATCCCCTATTGCCCAGGGGCCCCATGAGTTGTCAGTTCGCCCCTGCCCCCAAGGCTCTGTTTTATGAGCAGATGGATTGAGGGCAGTAGAAGCAGTAGAAGGGCAGTAGAAGAAGGGTGGATCAGAGAAGACAGGATCACAATGCAGGGGATTAAAACCCTTTGAGGACCAAGGGACGTATTTGTCCCATGTTTTTAATTGTGTGTATCATCTGATTAAGAGAACGTAAAACTCTTTTTTTTTTTTTTGGTTTGAGTCAAAATATTAGTTCTTATCAACAAACAACAAATGGATCTAGCTTTTTGCCAATTATTTCATGAAATGGCTTAGTTACAGCAAGTGAAGTGTACGAACTTTAAAAACAAAAACATTGATTCTTTTGGTGTTCCAAAATCTTACGGTCCTCAAAGGGTTAACCCCTAATGTTCTACAGTGAGTATACCAAGCATGCATAGCTGCATATACAGACTGATTTTACTGTTGTGGGTTTAGCAGCACTTTCATTTTCTTTTTATCCCTTAATTTTCACCTGGTGATCTTACCACTAGCACATTTGCCATCTTATGGTGTCTCCACTATGAATGGAGGAGCAATGGCAACATCCTAGTACAGCAGAAATGGACTTGACTAACAAATTAAAGCCAAACTTAAGGAAAATGTAATCCTTTGTAGTGTAGATGCCTCCTGCCCTTGAACCAAATTATTTACACCAACAGCACCAATAAGATAACCTTCGAGTCTAGTGCTATTTTTCCACTTTCGTCAACTTGGTGATATAACTAAAGGTTTGTTGGGTAAGGTAAGTCTTTTTGCTGATGACACAAAGGTGTGCAATAGGGTTAATATCCCTAGAGGTGTACATAACATGGAACATGATTTGGCATTGCTGGAAGATTGGTCGAAAAAGTGGACATTGCAATTCAATGTTTCTAAATGTAAAATAATGCACCTAGGGAAAAATAATCCCTTGAGAGAGTACAACGTTGGAGGTACATTGTTGGCCAGCATTTCAGAAGAAAAGGACTTGGAGGTACTTATTTCAGATGGTTGCAAAATGAGCAAACAGTGTGGCCAGACAGTGGGGAAAGCAAATAGAATTCGCAGAGGGGTCACCAGCAGGAGGAAGGAGGTCCTGATTCCCCTATATATATCTTTAGTGAGACCTCATTTAGAATACTGTGTCCAGTTCTGGAGACCTCACCAAAAAGATATTGATAAGATAAAACGAGTCCAGAGATGGGTAACAAAAATGGTGAACGGTCTGAGGGATAAGCATATCAAGAGCCACTTCAGGAACTTAGCATGTACAGTATGAAGGAAAGAAGGGAAAGGAGAGACATGATTGAAACGTTTAAATACATCAAGGGGGTGAATACGGTTCAGGAGGGCAGTATTTTCAACACGAAACCAAAATCAAGAACACGGGGACGTGACCTTACACTAACTGGAGGAAAGATCAAAACTAATCTCAGAAAGCATTATTTTACTGAGTGAGTAGTTGATGCTTGGAAAAAACTTCCAGCAGAGGTAGTGAGCTGGTCAACAGTAAAAAGTTTCAAACATGCTTGGGACAAGCATAGATCTATACTCAGACAAAAAAAATTAACAACCTCCCCAACAAAAAAATACAAAAAAAGAAATGGGCAGACCTGATGGACCACTCAGTCTTTTTCTGTCGTCGTTCTATGTATTTATGGTCTTGATGAGTTCAGAACTCAACACCACTGGAGTGTGTGGGAGAGGACGCTGTGGGGAACGGTCTAGCAGTGGGGAGAAGCAAAGGATAGGGTAAGTAAATGGTTTTTTTTTTTTTTATTTTTCATCTGTGTTATTGGGGAATTTGCGCAGTTATATTCATTTGTTTGTTATTTACTGGCCAGATTACCATGTAAAAAGAAAAGAAAAAAAGGACTAAAAAAATTAATGCAACCACCACATCTAAGACTTTATGAGCTGCAATATAGATCATTGTATTTATGGGTTTAATATCACTTTTAAGTGATACAGAATGGTCACTATCTAATTTTTTTAGGAAGAAGGAAACTATGGAGTTGACTTACTAAAGGCAAATAGACTGTGCACATTACAAGTGCTGTTGCACTCGTTTACTCCAGAGCTTAAAAAATGTGGTAAATCTTTGCTGATTTCCATCATCCAATCACGTGCAAGCAAAAATGCTGCTTTTTTATTTTCCTTGCATCTGATTGGGTATTCTTTACAAAGCAAAAGTTTACCACATTTACATTTACTAATGAAAATGAGTGCAACTGCACTTACAAAGTACACCATGTATTTGCATGTGGGGAGGTGTAGCAAGGTGTAGAGGCAGTGAACACACAGAGTCCAGCTGCAGTAAACTTGAAACTTGTATTGAAAAGAATGCAAACATTGCAAACACCCTAGCAGGAGAGTGCCGCTTAGAGAAAAAAACTCAAAGTTCAATGTAGTTCAAAGATGTGAGAGATGTGAGAGATGCCAACAGCATCTGTCTCAAAGGGTAGAATATGGCCTGGCCGGTCCCAAGCCCAAAGTGGGGAGGATTCATTCCAGGGTAGAAAGTCCCTAGCCTTTCCCTACTCAACCTTGCTCTACCACTTACCCTAACAAGTGGGGTCTCTCTCCCTATACTAGCCACCCACAAAATGTGTGCCAAAACCTGGGGACAGGGCCACCAAAGGTCACATGACCACAGCGCAGCCAACCAGAATGCTGCTCCATTGCCCAAGAAACCATAGAGAAATCATGTTTCCCTTGACTTCCTCTCCAGGCCGTGGTACCACCTACAGTAGATATCAGGGGCAGATTGACAACTAATGGGTCCCCCGGGCAATAGGGGATCATGGGGCCCCTGTGTCCTTGCCCACACTCAAAGCACACCCAAAAAAGCCTATAAAAGGTACCAGGGGCATTTCATGGGGCTCCCTACTGACCTCGGGCCCTTGGGCATTGCCCTAGTGCTCGAATGGTCAGTCCGCCCCTGGTGGATATAACAGACTGCGCCTGCCTACATGCCTTTAGTAAATCCCAATGTTTCCTAGAACATTGCCTTCATAAGTAGCCTGACCCAGCATCAGCATTTCAATCATGTATTTGTTTTTTTTATCTGTACCCATTAGCAAAGTGCAGCATAGATTTCCAGTCTACCCCTGAACCTGGTCTGTGTAGCAATCTGGACTTTACACAAATTATTCCATAAGCCGTGCATTTACTCTCCCATAAGGCTGCAGCCAAACTGAAAATCACGACTTCTAATTTATATTACCGCAGCTTTACGGGTATTAGACACGCATCTTACAAAACAGTTGATATAACACGTGGATCCCATCATTCATGTATATATTGACTCACCAGCAGTCAGGGCTTAATGCATGTACAGACATAAGCCTTCCAGAATCGGAGAAGGTGCATCACAATAAAACTCCAGCATGGGGTTAATTCCGAATTTTTATTCAGGCACATTGCACTGATCCCTTCCACACTCTCAAATCTCCAAACTAAGCAGATGTGGAAAACATGTTTTGTCATGCAGATATTAATGTCTTTGAACTGGTATTGAAAGATGTTTACTGAAACTGTGATTGTATTTCAACAAAGAAGAAAAACTGAATGTGTAACTTCTATCCAACTCAGGCTCCTTTTAATTTCATAGATATCTCCCTACACTGAGCTATACTTATATCTCGGCTTTATACCATGATGTGATGGGAATTTCAGATCAAGGTGATGGCATTGTGTCCATGAACAACAAATCACATCAAAATATACCCACCAACTAGCAGTGATAATTTTATTGAGCAAGCTTGTGTCGGAAACATTTGTGCCTTGGAGTTTTTCTTTCCACCGAATTTTCATGTGAGGTTTTGTGCGGGGGAATATGAAATAATCTCCAGATAAAACTCTTTTAGTCCATTTTAGTAAGACCATTTCATTCCATTCTACTGTGTTTAAGCAAAATGTAGCAGGAAGCCCTGGATAGATGCCTAGTCATTCCTCTGACACAGTCAGATGCACAGCAATCAGTGTGCAGAAAGCAGCGCATGATTTGGTCAGTCCCTCTTTATCTCCCCAGAGCAGGGATTGAATATATACAGCCCAGGATTTAGGAAGAGTAAAGCCTCGATCTTTCTAGTTGTTCAAATGGGATCACTTTTAAAGCATCGCTAAAGCCCAAACTTTTCTTTTGAGTTATGGATAGTGCGAGAATGGTTAAAACCCTGTCTGTTTTTTTTCGGTTGATGGTCTATAGAAATTCCTTTTGCTTCATGTCCTGAGGACACAACAGAAATTGAAAAGAAATCTCCTTAAAGCTGACCTTCACCCTAAAGGTCTGCCCTGCCTTATCTCCTCTCTTACAAAATGGAATTATTTTATTTTATTTTCGTAAGACTTTATTTGTGCTGCAAAGCAGCCCTTCCACAATTTTTGCTTAGGCAAGAATTTTCTTCTCTTCTATGCATGGGCAGATGTCTTGAAGGGCTCAGCACATCTGCACATATACCGGGTTCTGGCCATCTGTGCATTTGTGGGAATTCCCGCTCAAAAACTACTACTAGGGGAGTACATGCGCAGAAAATCATCTGCGCATGCACAGATGTGCTGACAGACTCTGGCAGGACCTAAAAGCTGGGCAGAGCCCATGGGCACATCTGAGCATGCGCAAGAATGGCAGTGCCAAAGGGAAGCAGAGCTTGTACACAGCAGGACTGAAGTTTTACTTAAAAATGTGAGAAAAGTTGTCAATGTAGAACCCCCCTAGATCAGTGCTAGGCAGGGACGGACTGACAACTCATGGGGCTCCTGGGCAATAGGGGATCATGGGGCCCCTGTGTCCTTGCCCAAACTCAAAAAAGCCTATGAAAAAGGTACCAGGGGCATCTCATGGGGCCCCCTACTGAACCCGGGCCCTCGGGCAGTGCCCGAGTTTCCAAATGGTCAGTCCGCCCCTGGTGCTAGGTGTAGATAGTTTGATTCAGTTCGTATTTTGATAAGTAAATTTAGGGCCCTTTCACACCAAACGTAGCAGGATGCAGTTTGCTGCAGCTGGCTGCATTTTGGACTGCACTCCAAGTGCATAGACAGTGCAAAATCCAGGCTATCATATGGGCATAGTTCACATGATTGCAGTGCAGTGCAACGCAGTGCAGAAAAGTACAGCATTTTTCTGCACTGCAAATGTGTAAAAAACGCATGCAAATGCACTGCAAATGTACTGCAACGCATCACAGTGCACCTAGAAGCCCAAAGAAAGAAAGATGAAGTAAGTGACCTCACAATACAAATGCAGATAGAAAAACACGAGTCAACTGCATGTAAAACGTGCATCAAATGCATGCAAAGGTACAAAGAAAAAACGCGCAGTTACTTGCAGTTTCTGGTGTGAATGTGCCCTTAGTTGTCATACTGTAGACAGCGTGGATGTAATTATTGCTGGTTAAAAGTATAACTTGCACATCGTAGTCAGTGTTGCTGTGTTCTGCAAGTTAGGTCTGCTCAGTTTGCACAGCTGCTGCCAGCCTGATGGCTCCCTCTGCTTCCAGAAAGATTGCAAAGTTTCTGCATAAATGATGTGGAGCTATGCAGATGGTATCATGAGTATTGATACAGTCCTTGCCTATCCCACACTGAGCTCTGGGTCCTTCCTGTATAGGATTGTTCCAGCCTGGGAGTGGGCACGTTGCCCTCCCAGGCAACTACTGCTGTGCAGCCTCAGGTGGGCTACCTGAGGGCTTGAATGCTGGGATCGGGATCCTGCTAAAGCTGACTGAGTGGCTGTCTACTGAAGATCTGGTCTGGTATCACAGAGGAAGGTGTCCAGCTGCTCTTGGGCCTTGTGAGTACAGACATCCCTAAAGGATCTTAGCGACTGTGTGCTACTTAACCCCCCCTCTGGTGCTTGGAAGTCAGCTGCAGGTCTAGGCTAAAGGGGACACCGGCTGCTGTTACAAAGAACTTTGTCCATTTAACCTCCTACTACAAAGGACTCTGCTTAAGCTTGCTACTACTATTACTACTGCTGCCTTAAAGCTGAAGTCTACTGTTTGCTTCAAGCACTGACTTCATCATAGCTTATCTGAAAGAATTCATAAAGTCCTCAACTGTATATAGTTCTTGTTTTTGGAGTATTCCACATAATTCCTCATCCCTATCCAAGTTCTCCAAAAATAAAACAACAAAAACAACACCCATAGACTGGTCATTGAAAATACGTATGAATGAGCCTTTGTGTCTGGCTGTGGGGTAAAGCTTGTGGGGAAGACCTGGACAGTATTCCTGGGGCTCTTACAGGAGTAGAGCTACAATATCACAACAGGTGTCTACATTAAAAGATTTCCTCTTAGATTTTTTTTTATTTCCCTCTTTCAGACCTAGAGACAACATTTAATTGAAAATAGAAATAGGGATGAGTTTGGGCCGAACCCAGAAGTTAGCTGTCATTGCATGGCCTACGGGTTTCAGGCAGGAGATTCCCCGCCCCGAAGCTGTAAATATGCAAAGGGTTAGGGGTGCTTGTAAAATAATTGACCTAATATTGCAATGTGTCAATATTAGGTCAATGATGTTACAAGCATTCCCAGACCCTTTTTTGTACATCTACTGCAGGGTGGGGAATCACCTGCCTGCAGCTAATTGGCACAGAAAAGACAGTTAACATTCACATTGGGTGTTGGCCTGAACCCAAGCTCAAACCCAAGCTCTTCACCCATGGCCAGGGCCAGGGGTGGGTGGAAGGGAGGGGTGGCTGCCCTGGGCGCAGTGGTTTTCTGCAGGGGGAGCCTTCCTTCTGTTACAAAGCTGAGAGGAGTGGTGATTTTGACAGTGATAGGCACTGCCTATGGTAAATAACTTAGATACCAACTCACCTCATTTAGGTGAGCCCACATAATATCAAATTCATGCTTTTAAATTAAAAACAGAATAAAGAGGTAGGTATTGAGTACTTCCCTAGTTTACCACAAATACAAATGTTTATTATTTATATAAAGACCAAATTAAGATAACAAACATGTTTCTTAAATAGCTTCCACAGTACCTCAAACCCTCACCAAAACACCAAAAAAGCAAACAAGTTAAAAACTGGACAGTATCTAGATATACAAGGGGTTACTTACTAAAACTGAAGAATGCACAATCTGGTGCAGCTCTGCATAGTAATAAATCATATTTCAGGTGTTATTGCCAAAGCTTAATTTAATAAGCTGAAGTTAGAAGCTGATTGTCTACCATGCGTAGCTGTACCAAATTTTGAGTGCACCTTTTTTAGTAAATCTACCCCACAGCATACCAAGGCATCTGAGTAAGCAAACTAAAAAAAAAATCTACAATACACAATTAGCTCTATGCATATAAAAACTAAATGTATCCAAAGTTATTTTTCAATCCCCATCCAGGAATAAAAGTAGCTTTATTTGCCTGGATACACAGATGGGTGAATCTTGTCATATTGGGAACACAGACAACAATAGATACCTAAAAAAAAACATACACCAATAGAAGGAGAGCCAGACCAAAGATTAAAATAGTCCAAGTTAATTTATTGATTTATAACAAAAAAACAGCCAACATGTTTCAGGAGTCAGACAAAAAACCCCTTCAACTGACTTCTGGCTTCAGTTAAAATTAAATCCTGAAATGGACTCAAAATAGGGCTATCCTGTGCGAATCTATGCAGGGAAGCGAATTGCTGAATTGAGAGAGTTACTAACCAGCAGTATTTGCATAAGAAATCAAGATCATGTTTTCAAGGTTCTTAATTTAACTAAAGCCCTGATAAAGAGGGTTTTTTTTCTGAAACTCCACCCCCATAACACATTGACTATTTTTTGTATAAACCAATAAATAAATATGGACCCTTTAATCCTTTGGTATGGCGCTCGTATCGCTGCATGTTTTTTTTTTTACTGGTAACCTGCTGGGTACCCACTGGAGGGTAGCCCTGTCTGCTCTGAGCAGCCTAACCTGAGTCAGTGAGCTCTGCAAATGCTTTTGTCCTCTCACTACTTTGTATAAACTCACATCAAAGTCCCAGCACCTCTTGGATGTTCTTTTCTTCATTGAACAATAGATACATGACGGTAATGCGTCCTTACTTTATTTAAAACTAAAGAAAAAAAAATGTTTTTTAAAGTTTTGGTTTTGGATGCCTTTTAAGCACATCCCACCCATAGGGCGTCATATGACTTGCACCTGCAGGCATCATTTTGGTATCAAAATGTTCTGCCCCTAATTCTCTTCTAAATGGAAGTGATTCAAGTGCCTTCCCCTCCCTTCCTGCCACTGCTCTCAGAACCCTCCTTTCTGGGGCTCTCCCATCCAATTGCAGAGCCGCTGTGACCAGCAGCGATGGTGGCACTACACAGGGAGAGAGGAACCAATTTAATTCTTCCCTTTCTATGACCCTGGAAACTGGAAGCGATAAGGATTTTGTCACTTCCAGTTTCGGCTAATTGCTTACTGGCCTTTAGCAACCAGTCAGACCAATGTGAGTGGAGATCAAAGGAGAGATATGGGGTCTAATGGATCTCAAATATTCCATTAAAGAAGACCTGTCATGGCCCATGCTTTCACAAGGGATAAGGCAATAGAGAGCAGCCCTCACAACAGGGAACACACCTGAGTTGAATAGTGGAACCCAAATGCAGATACTGAGGCTCTGAAGTGTCCTCCCAACACTGAATGCAATATACAAAAATGGGAAGAGCTGGCAACTCCAAAATCCATATGAAGACTTTATTGATTACAAAGGAGTGATATAAAAGCACATTTTTATGTCACTCCTTTGTAATCAATAAAGTCTTCATATGGATTTTGAAGTTGCCGGCGCTTCCCACTTTCACAAGGGATGTTTTTAATCCCTTGAGAAAGCAATAAAGTTGATTAAAAAAAAAAGTAAGAAACAGTGTAAAAAAAAGTTTTAAACAAATAAATTCAAAAAATGTAAAGCTCCCCTCACCCCTTCTTGACTGCAATCACAAGCATGTGGAATGATTACACCCCACTCAGGTGTCCGTTTATGACACACAGAATAGCTGCAATTCAGAGGATCACAGCTATTCTCTGGTCATTCACAGTTTATGACACCCAGGAGATCAGCGGAGAACATGCTCAGCCCTTCACTGGAGATCTGTGTTCTCCCTCCAGATTCTCAAGCCCAGAGCTGGAGAATCGGAGGGACTGCAAACTAAGCAGCGATTATTTACCTCTGTTTAGTAAACTGAACTCTTACTGTAATCTCGTGAGATTATAGTAAAAGTAGCCATTTTCCAACGTTTGTAGATCGTTCTACCTTCGTTCAGAGAACTGATCTACACCGCTTCATAAAAGGCATTCACATTAGAACTGTTTTCTCCGAGAATTCCGGAGAACTGAGCAGCGATCATTTACCACTGGTTCATAAACAGACACCTATGTTTGTCCTCATTTATATACTGGTGACCCTTTTGGAAAGATAGGCTGCACTTCCTGTCCTGAAAACTCAACAGGAAAAGAAAGCAACTCCTCTCTTATACAGTTGTCACTGGAACAGGTGTTCCTATTGCAATAGGATATGAGGGAAGTTGCAGCTTCGACATTAAACAAGGCTTTTCTCTCTTTGCTCTGGGGGCCAAGTGGAACGGTGATGGAGGAACTTGAAAGCATGTGCAGATGGTGGGACCAACATTAAAGTGAACCGGTTGCTTTGCCCTGCATGGGGGAAGAATAGGTTCCTTTTAAAAATAATGGCAGAAACATTAAAAAGTGAAAGGACCTAATTTAAATGTTAAGTGCTGTATATCTATAATAATACAAGAGGTAAAAATGTTGCACACCACTGATTTTTCATGTCAATATTTTATTCATTTTAGAAAAATTTAAGGTGACAAATATAACTGAATGAAATGATTCAGTGAAAAGTCTATCGAATCAGTCAGTTGAAGGAAAGTGTATTGTGTAATCCCTTGTTATTGT